TCCTATTCTATTTCCTTACTGAGCAGATTCATGGCAAATCCAGGCAGTGAGCACTGGACTGCCTTAAAGGGAGTATTAAGGTACATTAATGGTACCTTGAATATTGGTCTAAACTTCTGTAAAAGGCATAATACACTTGACTTGGTGGGTTTTGTAGACTCTGATTTTGCAGGTGACAAAGACACAAGGAAATCCACCACCTCTTATTACTTTACCCTTGGAGGAAATTGCATTAGCTGGAAGTCACAACTTCAGCCCATTGTTGCTCTCTCAACAACTGAAGCAGAGTATATTGCTATTGCTGATGTGTTTAAGGAAGCTGTGTGGCTGCAAGGTTTGTTAGCCGAAGTAAAACTGACTGATGGCAAGGCTACTGTATTCTCAGATAGTCAGAGTGCAATCCATCTCAGTAAGAATCCAGTTTACCATGAGCGGACCAAGCATGTGGATGTCCGCTTCCACTTCGTCAGAGACTTAGTAACACAGGGGGTAATTGATCTTGTAAAGGTATCCACTGAAGATAATCCTGCCGATATGGGAACCAAGGTTGTTTCACCTACAAAGTTCAAGCACTGCTTGAACCTGCTACATGTAAGATAACCTGTGAAGACCAGAACAATGATGGAACTATTTGGGTTTGCTGCACTGTGAATGTTTAGCATTCAAGGTGGAGATTGTTGTGAGTGAATGCTGAAACGGCGTCGTACTGAATTAATGGAACGATGTCGTTTTGAGACAGCTCCTGGATGATCCTGACTGCTGATTCAGAGGAAAAACCAACGGCTGAGATCAAGCCTCCAGTCAACACTATAAAAGGATTAGGGTTTCTTATTGTAACAATAGATCAAACATAAAAAGGTCGAGAGCCGTTTTCGTTTTCTTTTGGTAAAACTAGGGTTCTTTCTTTGGGTCTGATTTCAGTGTAATCTGTGGGTTTCTTGAGTGGTTTGGGTTAATCAATCAAGGGAAGAACTACTGTGTTCTTGTTATAGGGATTTACAGGTTAGAGGAGTCCTAGGGCAGATTACGAGTTTGAATCAGAGTTGTTTGATTTGGGTTTCTTGGGTGTCATTCTTTGTAATCGTGACTGTAATCGGTTGTTCTTTAATCAGAGTGCAGTGAACTCCCTTTCCGGAGTTCAACGTGGATGTAGCTTGCTCAAATCGGGCAAGTGAACCACGGTAAAGATCCGGTGTTTATTGTTTATTGTTTGTGATTTCTGGTTTCTTATTTGTTTCAGTTTGTATTTTAGGTTGATTGCATAACAAATCTGATATATAATATATTCGAGGAGTTCTACAATATAAAGTACTCCTTGAATATGAATAAATTTTCAGTTGAGATGATAATTCCAATTAAAAAGAAAAGTGAATATTTTGCGGGAATAATTAACTTAAAGGTTACAAAGAATATAGAAAAAGGAAACGGTAATATTGTATTTGTATTGGCACCTATTGAATATAGAACCGTAAGATGAGATAAGGAGTTTTTTTTTTTGATAAATAAGTAGTATCATTACAAGAGAGAAAGAATGTACAGAGGTGTCATAAAAAAACCAACCATCTTATCTCAGGACAAGCCTTGGGATAGGAACAAAAACACAAGCTTAATAGACCGAGAACCTAATCTCCTCTTGTCTGTCTAACTTAAGCACACAAAGGATAGGAGGCAAGAGGAGAGAAGTTGGGAATTCAAGTGAGGAGGGGTAGATTTTCAAAAAAATAATATAATCTATAATTTTCAACATAATGATAAATATTTTTAAAAAATTAATTTTTAATTCATTGTAATTACAATTGCTTTTTACTCGTTTTAATGTTTTGAAATCCATCATTGTCAACATTGTTAAAAAGTCAAATGAAAGAAATGAATTAACTGTGATAAAAAACCCAACAAAAATCCTAATTTCCTAAAGGTAAACTAAAGTAAAAATCATGTAGAATAGAATTCTTAAGATAATAAGTGATTTGACCTACATCGAAACCACAATTTCTTTTACATGCAATGAGTTAAATGAAATTTCTATAACATGAACCTTATTTATTTATAACCTAACTATCTTGTTTATTTTGTTTTTGGACATGATTATTGGACTTGGAGGAATAATTTAAAAAATATAGAACTATTTAGGGTGTAATTATAATTTTATAAAAATTATGGTCTTTTTTTTTTTTTTTTTTTTTTATTAAATTTTGGTGATAGCCCAGGCTCGTGGGCCAATGCTGGCTCCGCCACTCATAAAGATAATTAATGTGAAACCTAAAAGCTAGATTTGTAAAACATGGAGTTTGTCACATCTCTCGTATCAAATAATACTTTTGCGAGAATCATAAGATAAGGAGTTTGTTAAAAAGAGAGCTTGTGCTGTTGTGCACCTATCATTCATAGTATCCGGCTATATCCTGAAAAGCAGGAACCATGAGGACGGAAGAATCATCAACTTTCTCAAATCTTGTGCTTTCCCTGTGGATCTTTCTATTCATCGCTGAAATACAATCAAGAGAAGGTCAAGAAATCTGTTCTCCTTCATGTGGAAACATCAAAAACATAAGCTACCCTTTTCGCGTAAAGGGCGACCCAGCAAGATGTGGTAGTCCTTACTTTGAACTGTCTTGCAGAGCAACAAAACTATCCTGGAAATCAATTCAGCAAAGTACTATGTCAAGAGAATCTCATATGATGAACAGATTATCAGTGTTGTTGATATTAACTTAGCCGAGGGCAGCTGTTCCCTTCCGTACAAATCTCTGTCAGCACAGAATTTTCCTCCGGATATAAATTTTATAGATTATCGTTATGTTGACAATCTTGCCCACAGGAAAGACCTTCTGTCTGCCAGATTTTTGAGGTGCTCGCTTAATATCAGCGATCTGGCTTATGTAAGAGTTCCTTGTTTGAGTGGAGATGGCTCACAAGTTTATGTTACTTATCAAGGTGAATTTATATCTGATATCCCAGTGTCATGCTTGCTAATTTCAGTGGTTCCATTTCAAAACCGGTCTCATTATAGGAATGAAACATATCCTTCTTATGAAACCATCCGGAGGTTTCTGCAGTCAGGTTTCGGTCTTAAATGGTCAGCTGACTGCTTTCTTTTTCGTGCCAAAACTTCGAAAGTAAGCTTTGTCTTTTTTAAAATATAATTTATTGTTTTATTTTAAGAATTTTTGTGTATCATGAAGAAATTTATTTTTTATTTTCATGTCCTCCTCTTATGCAGATAATTCCGCTGAAAATATTGATTTCCTATCATTGCTGCGACATTCTTATAATCCTAAAACACTCCTCAAACCCGACTTATCCGACAGGATCCTAGGTATATGAATTTCTAGCTGGAATTAATTTATGTTTTTATTGCCTTGGCAATATTTTTCATTTAACTTTCTCTTTACTTGGCCAGTGGTTGCTCTTGGTTTCAGATTTATCATTTTTCCACTAGCTCTATGTCTGTATGTTATTCACAAATATAGAAAAATCTGGAAGAAAGCTGACGCGGTAGAGAATTTCTTGCACAATCAGCAAACTTGGATGCCGAAAAGGTACTCTTACGTTCAGATAACTGCCATGACAAACCACTTCAGAGACAAGCTAGGCCAAGGTGGCTGCGGATCAGTTTATAAAGGGCAACTTCATACCGGTAGATTCATTGCTGTCAAGGTACTCGAAAACTCTAAGTTCAGTGCTGAAGAGTTCATCAATGAAGTTTCCACAATTGGTAGAATTCACCATGTTAATGTTGTACGGTTGTTGGGATTCTGTTCCGAGGAATCTAAACGTGCTCTTGTTTATGAGTATATGCCTAATGGATCACTTGATAATCATATCTTCTTGAAGAAAAGTAGAGGTGTATCATTAACTTGGGAGAAACTTCATGAGATTGCTTTAAGTATAGCTCGTGGAATTGAGTATCTACATGAAGGTTGCGATGTGTGCATTCTGCATTTTGACATTAAGCCTCAAAATATCCTGTTAGACCACCATTTCACTCCAAAAATCGCAGATTTTGGCCTCGCAAAATTTTATCCAAAGGAAAATGATTTTTTGTCCATTAGTAAAGAAAGAGGAACGATAGGTTACATAGCTCCGGAATTAATTTCAAGGAATTTCGGAGTTATTTCTTGTAAGTCAGATATTTATAGCTTTGGGATGTTGATATTGGAAATGGCTGGAGGAAGAAGGAATTCTGATATGAGAGCAGCTCGATCAAGTAAAGCATACTTCCCGTCATGGGTATATGATAGGATAAAAGATGGAGAAGATTTAGAACTCCTGAATTTCACTGAAATTGACGATGTCATAGCAAGAAAACTGTGTATAATTGGGTTATGGTGCATTCAAATGAAGCCAGTAGATCGACCCTCAATGAGTAAAGTTGTGGAAATGCTAGAAGGAAGTATTGACAACTTGCAATTGCCTCCTAAGCCTTTTTTTTCTTCCTCTCAACAGAACTCGATGAGAGTAATTGAATCAGATTCTTCATCAGAGCTGCAAATATCTGAATCAATTGAGGAATAATGCTTGTATAATAATGATTGTGATGTATAGTTTTTCCAATGGAATGTATGGAATAAATAAAATTCACATTTGTGTTCTTCACCATGTGGGTTATTTATAATTAAATATATATATGCAATTAAGACTGATACTAAAATTATATAAAACATGCTTTGAATCTTACAGAACTCCAAGTTGAATCTTATCCCACTTCCCATTTGCATGTTTTTGTCCACAATCTCAGTTCACACACATCCCTATCTAATCTTGTCCATAATTTCTTGGCATGTTCTATAGCATACAAAGACTAGATGTAGCCATTCATAAGGCTTAAGGCCCCTTGGGTCCTACAAAAAATATTAATATAAATGTATACAGTTTCATCTCTAAAATCTTATTTCTTAATACAGTCACCCTTACTTGTTGAGTCTCCCATTTTGGCCCTTATTTATTAAAAATCATCTCCCAAACTCTACTTCTCTGTTCCAAGTTCTTTCTCTTTCACCATGATCCTTGGGGTGTATACAATCCTCTTCCTCCTTTTACCTTTCTCAGGAGCCAAATATTCTTCAGGTGGAAACACTGATCAAAATAAATATGAGTTCTGTAAACCAACAAGATGCTCCCAAACGGAACCAACCATTAGATTTCCCTTCAGACTCAGAAATAATCAGTCAAGGTCTTGTGGCCTTGAAGGGTTTGAATTGTCATGCTTCAATAACAAGACTCAGCTAAAACTTCCTTTCACCGGCGATTACTATGTTCAAAAAATTGACTATCTTCACAGCACTATTTCCTTTATGGATGTGCACGAGACACCACGCTCACTGCAAAATCTTCACTGTGCTAACCTCTCAAACTTCAAATTCTTTCTTTCCAACTTCAATACTTCGGATTACACTATCGTGTACTGCTCTAAAATGATCGAAGATTCACAGTATGTTGTTGGAGAGATTGATTGTAACAGAAATGAAAGTGATTTTGTTTACGCAATATCTGCCACCGAGTTAATGGATAATCTGCCTTCAAATTGCATTGTAAATCAAACAGTTAAGAGTTCCGGTTAAGCAGAATCGGCTGCATTTCAAGGACTTTGTCCTGAAGGCCTTGTCATCAAGAACTATCGTCATGGAATGGAAAGCCCTTGCTGGATGCTATCACTGCGAAAAATCAAGGAATTACTGTGGGTTCAACACCACAAGTAATTCAACAATTTGTGTCAAACAAAAACGTAAGTTACCATTAAGCATTTTTTTTATTTCTTTATCAAGTTCTGAACACTAATGAATGTCACAAGCGATTCCTCAAATTAATTTCTTTTTTAAGAAGCTTCATTGACCTTTTATCCATTTGCACATATAATTCATGCTCTTGCTTTCGGATTTGTAATTCATGATTTGCAATGTTTTCTTTCTTTCTCTAGATAATGGGTAAAGGCTAATTACATCCCCTGTCTGTGTGTCATTCCTTTTTATTCACCTAAAAGAATTCCTTATACTGTCGAGCATTACCCAAATGAATTGAACTTTATTGATCATTTCAGGGTGTTAATTTGCTGGCTTGTGACATTAAATTAGATACTTTTAGGAAAATATTGATGAGTTCTGAAAATTAGAACTTCTATCAATTTTCAATTTGAATGGTAGCAACACAAAAGTTTATTCCTCTGCGAAGCAAAGCATTGAGCGCTTAGCCTAACCGTTTTCCTTTTGAGATGCAGACTTTCAAGGTAATGGATTAATACTTGGAATTATTGGAGGAATTCTCTTCCTTGCATTCGCATTCGTGGTAATTCTAATTTACAAATACAGGAAATCTAGAAATGAAAAACAAACCCAATTGAAAGTGGAGAAGTTCCTTCGAGACTACAAGGCTGTCAATCCAACCAGATATACATTCCGTGACCTTAAGAAAATAACCAGTAAGTTTAAGTACAGACTTGGCCAAAGAGGTTTTGGAAGTGTTTTCAAAGGTAAACTCTCTAATGGAATTCCAGTTGCTGTTAAAATGCTGAAACATTCAAAGACAAATGGTGAAGAGTTCATCAATGAAGTGGCGACAATAGGTAGGATACATCATTTTAACATTGTTCACCTTCTAGGATTTTTCTCAGAAGGGGCACGACATGCTCTTATTTATGAGTTCATGCCCAATGGATCTCTTGAGAAGCTCATCTTCTCAAAAATAAACAACTCAAATCATCGACTATTGAGTTGGGAGAAGATGCTGAACATTGCAATTGGTGTTGCACATGGAATAGAGTACCTGCATCAAGGATGCGACCAAAGAATCCTTCATTTTGACATCAAGCCTCACAATATATTACTAGACCATAATTTTCAGCCAAAAATTTCAGATTTTGGGCTGGCCAAGCTATGCTCAAAGGAAAAGAGTATTATATCAGTGACAACTGCTCGAGGAACGACGGGCTATATTGCTCCAGAGCTTTTTTCTAGACACTTTGGAGAGGTGTCTTACAAGTCTGATGTATTTAGCTTTGGGATGATGTTACTAGAAATGGTTGGATGTCGAGAGAATTTTGACTTTAACATCGAAAATGCAAGCCAAGTTTATTTTCCTGAGTGGATATACAACACAATGAGCCATGGAGAAGAGCTTTGCTTAGAGATTGAGGAAGGTGGAGACGAGGAAATAGCCAAGAAGCTTGCAATTGTGGCACTTTGGTGCATTCAATGGAATCCAACAGAGAGGCCTTCTATGCCAATGGTAATACAAATGCTTGAAGGTGATTTACAGAGCTTGGAGATTCCCCCAAAGCCCTTCGTTTCTTCAGAGGATGAAATGGATGCAAATTGATATATTAAAGGGAATTGTAAGAATATTCTCGTCCAAATTGGCCAAGTATAAATAAGATCTTCTAGTTCTTGTAATCATGAGGGCATTTGAAATAAGTGCAGAACAAGTTAATATATTTTAATGGTTAGAACTTTCTGTTTTAGTTTATTCAATATGATATTTGATCCTCAATAATTGGAATTTTTGTGTCCAATCTCCTGCGATGAATCCACTATATCATAATATTATTTTGCAGATTATTATATTATATGAGCTATAGCTTGAACAACAACCAAATGCATCATTCACCTTAAATGTTTCTTTTCATTTTTAAAATCTATATTGTTGGTGGCATATTCCATTCGACATTTGTAGCACGTAAGGAGTGAAAATTAACAAATGAGAGTCCCACTTATAGCAACACTGCAACAAAGCAAATAGATATTCCAAACAAATCTACAAATATCTCTCTTTTTTTTTTTTTTTTGGGTAATCGAGATTTCTTTGTTAATTTGCTCGTACCTCAACTAATCCTCAAGATCCATTGAACACCCTATAAACCCAAAAGATCAGGTAAGATGGTCTCAAAATTTGAATCTAAGAACTCAAGAAATGAAGTAAACCTTCTTGATCAGTAGGCCAACCCCTTAGGGTTAAAATTCGGAAACCACTAATATCTCCCTACTGCTTGTTTACAAGGAATAACCAAAACTTGGAAGTAAACATATAAAAATTCCATCCACTAATGGTTTATTCTAGTTTTGGGCCTGGGCTTCATATTTATGGTACCACAAGACTCCAGCAACACAAAGGCCTGGTACCATGAAGTGGCATTTCATTAAGCAAATCTTTCTTGTAAAGAAAATTTCAGTTTTGAGCAACTCTTTCGCTCTCTTTTACTTTGTGAATCTTGTGTATTTAGCTGAAATTACAGCCAACAATTTCTGGTATTTCTTTTAGACCCTTGTCCAGACGTGTCCAATTAGTCGAAGAAGAAAACTTGAATTCATCATCTAAATGGGATCTCATAGTTTTTGAAGAATAAAAATACTCAATTTTTTTTTCTGTAATAGCATGAGGGTGGAAATGGTATTGAGATATGACCACCAGGGATTTACAATTTTTTTTTTTTTTTTTTTTTTTTTTTTTTTTTTTTTTTTTTTTTTTTTTTTTTAAAACATGAAGATATAGTAAGTCTTACCATTGCCGGAAATACTAAATCCACTAACGGCATATAAATAGTGTTAAGTTGTTGAGAATTGTCATAAAATGGGTACCTCGATTTAATATTTATCCATGTTATTACTATAAAGTTATCTTATTATAATTATAACAAGTATACTAAGTATATCTAAATTAGTATATAGAATAAGTGCATGTAGAACTAAATAAATCCCTCAGTTACTAAAATTTGTTTTTGATTTTTTAATTTTTCCATATGTTCATGTTTTTACTCTTCAATGATATTTTATGAATATAATGAGATTTAAGCAAAAAGAAGTTTTTGGAAATTTCCCTCAAGACCATAATTTTTTTGTAATAACTAGGGTTCACTTATCTCAATAGACACGTTTTAAGTGAAAAATACTTGCATCTAAGCTTAAAAGTAAATATGTACTGAGTGGTCTAGAGCGTATTATATCCACTCTGTTAAACATGGACAGTTATATTTATTTTGTGATGGATGTAGCTTATCAGTATTTGATGCTTGCCTGAAATGATAATTTCAACAATCTGTCATAAGTTAGGCTGGGAGTAAAGCATGTCAAATTTATCTCATTCACTTCATATTTGCCGCTACTTATAGGAGCTACAGGGCAATGAAAACTCCAATATATAATAACAAGCTTTATCTGATTTGCTAAATGATTATTAAGTGGCTGCAATTTTTGAATTGGTAAGATTTTATTTTCAACCATCAAAAGGTTTTAGCAGACTGAACATAAGTAGCTTCTGATTTCCGAAGAAACAGCCTAAAATCAATAGTCATGCTCCAAACCTTCTTACTCAGCTCTCACTGAAAATCCTTTTACATTATTTTGAACGTTGCATATTACATATACAATTGATGCAGCACTGGTAAGATTCAAATAACTGAATAGACCAAGAGAAAAGGGTTGTAAAAAAGTAGAATGAAGGGAGAAAGAATGTCAGCTGTTACTATCGTGGACTTTCATGAAAAAGAAAATAAGTTTTTAGATTTTTTTTCTTGTATTTGTTCTTACCTTAAGAGAATTAAAACTTTTTGTTTCTTTATGGCCTTAAGATTTGTCAAATAACTAGAAGAAGACAGCTAGAAGACATCCTAAAAATAAACGTACCTGTAAAATTCGCTATGATTTCTTGGCCGAACGATTGATAAATCAAGTCTGTTTATGCAAGTCTAATTCCTCTCCAATTTCCAAGTCTAACTGGCGCGTTTTGCCAATAACAGGGATGACTCGATTCTGTAAGTGATACAAAGATTTCCCTATAACTATAAGTCTCAATTTTAGAAGTATTACTTCTCTGGAATATTGTGTCGGGTAGAGACTCTTTATGGGTCAAATGGGTCTATACATATAGGCTGAGTGGGAGGAATTTCTGGAATATTCAAGTGCCCTTGGACGCTAGCTGGTGCTGGGACTGCTATAGGGGACGGGCAAGGTACTTCATTGTGGTTCGACAACTGGCACCCACAAGGTTCCCTGGATGGGATTATTCCCTTTAGGTTATCTTTGTTGTGTATTTTACTTGCAAGAGCGCAATTTTCGTCTTTTCAAAAACAAAAGGAGTAGTGATAACCTGGAAATTCAGATTTTTTGGGATGTAAGACTCCAACTCGATTCTTAAAATTTAAAGATAATATGAGTGCGTACAGTTGTGGATGAATGGGAACTCCCTAGAGACTGCATCGTTATGAAAGATCATAGAGCCTGATAATCCTTTTTTATGTTGATGATTTTTTTGAAAATGCTGTGTGGATTGCTGGATGATTTTCATAATTTTACGGTGAGCAGGTTTGTGTTTGTTGAGGTATGTAGAATGGGAGGTGGGCTGATTGTATGGGCAGGATGTGCAGATGCATGGGCCGCCGTTTGGGTTATGCAGAGTTTCTTTTTTGGGCTATGTAGCCTTGTACAGATAATTTGTTTTTGTTTTCTGCTAAGGCCTGTTTTTGATTGGGCCTTTATGTAGAGGATTATACATACTTTTGGTCTTCGGCGTCTTTTTGTTGGCTTCGCCTTGGACTTGTCCATGGCAAAAGCATGCAGGACAGTTCCCTCTCCTTCTATTTTTTATTCTTTTTTCAATGTAATTACCGGGCTTACCCAAAATGTCTCTTATTTTGTTGTGTCCATTGTTATCTGTCATCTTTTACCTCTATCCTTGGCCCAAGAAGAAGAGAGATTCAGAGCAAGATGTCCATCTTTCAGTTGTGGTTTACTAGTAAAAAAAAATGTAATGGCTAGAACTATATATTACTGATTTATATAAGCTGCCTGAATTTTAATTGTAACTTGTATTGCAGGAAATGGAAACTTGAGATTGAAGCTAGCCATAGGACTTGATAATATATATACCTCTCTAACCAACAAGTATTTTATTGAATATTGATTGTTTGGCCCCTACTCCTAGTTTATTAGGAAGCTTAAAGTTACCTAGATTGGTAAAATCCATGACTTATCATTCTGATCATTTCCATCTTTATGTTTTGATAACACCTTTCTTTGATTTGCAGGCATAACAGCAATTGGAATTGGCATACTGAAACTTACAATCTTTTGCTTTAGAAAATTTCATTTTTATGGTATAATTCCAGAGTGTTCTGGTGGAAGAAAACTATTAGAGCAGTCCAACATCAGCTCGTCTCATGCAAACGCAACAGCTCGTGGCGAACTGGTTGCCACGAGCAGCTCATCTCATGCAAATGCAGCAGCTCGTGGCATCCTCAAAGATGTTGATATGCAGCCACATTCTATATCACATGGACACACCTCACATGATTATTGTTGAGGAAAATTACCAACTAGTCTTATTCATAGCTGAGGTGTCCTTGTACCATTATGTAAATTTACAGTTTGTTATGCTAGTTGTACAGGAATCTTCTGGTTTGTTTCATTTTGTATCGTGTATAAAGCAGTGGCATCATGTACAGTTTAATTCAATTCAATACAATCAATGCAATAGCATTTTCAACAACACTACTCTGTCCTTTTGTTATTTTTCTTATTACTCTGACATGGTATTAGAGCAAGGTTCAGAGTAAAACCTTCTTTTTCAATGGCTGATGCTGCTTCAAAAAACAATGATGCTGCTTCCAAAAATGATGATGCTTCCACAAACCTTTTCCTGGACTTTTCCAATCCCATCAATCCTTACAGACTCGATCATGGAGATAATCCATCGCTTCCCTTACTCCATGACCTGCTCACTTCCGAAAACTATACTACTTGGTCAAGAGCCATGTGCAGGGCCCTTCGTGCCAAAAACAAACTCGGTTTTATTAATGGCAACTTGTCTAAACCGAAATCAACCTCTGATCCTCTCTTTGATGCCTGGGAGCGCTGTAACGATCTGGTAGTTTCCTGGTTACATAACTCCATTAATCCCTCTCTCAAATCCAGCATTGTTTTGGTTGATGATGCTACTCAAGTCTGGAAGGAACTTAAAGAACGATTCACTCAATCAAATGGTCACCGGATTTTTCAACTTAAAAAGGCATTAACAGGTTTGACTCAAGACAATGATTCTGTTTCTGTTTATTTTGGTAAACTTAAGACTCTATGGGATGAGCTCCTTATGTATGATCCGTTACCTGACTGCTCTTGTGGCAAACTGGTTGTTCTTCTTGACCAATATCAAAGGGATTGTGTAATCCAATTTCTTATGGGCCTTAATGATTCATTCAATGCCACTCGTGATCAGATTATGATCTTGGACCCCTTACCACCCATAAACAAATTTTTTTCAATGGTTCAACAATAAGAACTGCAACATCTCATGGTTCCTAATCTCCCTTCTACTGAGTCTATGACGCTCGCTGCTAACCGACCTTACTTACCATACAGATCCTTACCTCAATCTTCCCAATCATCTAAACGAGACAAACCATTTTGCACCCATTGGAAGATTCAAGGCCACACTCTTGATGCTTGTTTCAAAGCTGGCAATGCTCAACCACCAACCTGCACCCACTGTCAT